TATCGATTCCATTAAAATGGTTGTTTTTTTTCACGAAACGTTAATCGAAATATAATCATTGAGAATTAGGTTATTTCTTCACCAAAAAGTAGTAAAATACACTGCTATAAATATATATATTTATATATATGCATTATTTCAGTTGGCTTCTTAAACAAATTTAACTGATTCGTATGGCTGAAAGGTTTAGTTTGCATACACAGAATGTGCTAGGCAATAACTTTAACTGTCTAGCAAAATATGGTAGATATTGCTGATGATGATTTCTAGTGTTTGTTGACATTTATAGAATACATCACAAACTGCTTATTTTGCGGTTTTTACCCTTTGTTGTGCGATAGATTTCGGGATATTTCAGTGAAATCATAATTTTACTGGCATATCTTTACAAGCAGATCTCGTCACCTTTCTTGTCAATTTCCGCCAAATCTGTCTGTATAGTTTAAGTTACTTATGCCTCCTGAGATCGCTAATATTTATGAAGGTATACACTAGGAAACATTCAGGCATTACCCCATTCATATATTATCGGAAAGTATTTTCATTACAGATTACAATATGTGCTTACTCATTTGAAAGAATTATTCATTTCATCAAACTCACATGACGTCAACAAATTGCTTAAAAATAACACAGATTCAGAAAAGGATATCTGATCAAAACTCTCGGACACAGTTATTCACGTTTATCTTATGGAAAAGTTAAATTTCCTAATAAATAAACTTCTTTTTGAAATTTATGAATGACTATTTGTAAATCTATTCGAACAATATGCTTATATATGACTTACATTAGAAAAGTCCAGTTTTGAAAAATTCAAAATACGTTTCACTGTGTCCACTCTCCTTTTCAAAGGTAAAAACATTGAACAACAAGAAGCGTTTTAGTGATACTAAAAACGTGTAGTATTCAAACAAAGGCATCATCATTTTTCGCCATCACTAGTATAGATAGGAATGTATTTTCGTAATTTCACCGTCATTTTTTTGAATATTATCTGATCGTTGAATTATTTTTGTTTTAATGTATAAACTTCTTCAACTTGTTCAGTAGAACTGGATACATAAAATTTTAATTCAAATCAAGAATAGACAAGTGAAATACACAATACTATGAAATAAAAATAATTCAAATTCCGAAAAAATGGTATAACTAAATGTCTTGTTATATGCATGTGTACTCAGTATTCAAAAGTAAGATCGTAGGTTTTAAAAATAATTCTTAAAATGTGTTTAAAATAAAAAGTATTACATTTCAGGCCAGAGAACTAATGTATTTGTCTTGAAATTCAGTATATTTCTAGTGATAAGCATATTCTACTTATCTAAGTATCCTTAAAAAGAAATACATCATACTTTCTATTTGTAATCCTAGAAACCATCTTAACAATCTAACCATAAACCTTAAAAAAAGCAGAAAAACTTTTATTATCGATTCCCTCCACTGAGTAGTTGTTAAGATTACTTACTTACTTACTTACGCCTGTTACCACCACCAAAGAAGCATAGTCTGCCGACCAGCATTTCCCAACCTACTGCTTCCCAGGCTTTCCTTTCAAGTTATTTCCAATTTTTGTTCATTCTTCTCATATCTGTCTCCTTTTCTCAGCGTAATATATTGTTTGCTCTTCCTCTTTTTCATCGGCCTTGAGGATTCTAGGTGAGGGCTTGTTTTGTGACGAAGTATGGTGCTTGCCTTAATGTTTGTAGTATCATCTTCCAGCGCTTGTTCCTGATTTCCTCCTCCTCTTGAATCTGATTTGTTCTCTCCGACAGTTAGTTGTTGCTGATAAAGTCTGGCCAATGGATATGAAGCATTTTGTATAAAAAAACTGTTAATAAACACTTGTATCTTCTGGGTGAAGGCTTTGGTATTTATCAAGTTTCCTCTGCATACAGTAGAATTGTCTTGACATTTGAATTGAAGATTCTGACTTTCGTGTTTGTTGGTAGTTGTTTTGAGTTCTAGATGTTGTTCAGTTGTAAAAATCCTTTCCTTCCTTTGCCTATCCGCGCCTTCCTATGTGTATCAGATCCACCTTCCACATCAATTGCGCTGCTCAAATATGTCAAGGTTTTACATCTTCCAAATCTTCCTCGTAAAGTGTGATTTGATTGTGTTGTGTCGATGAATCTCGCTTTTGCCTTTGTGTACGTTGAGTCCTACTGCTGCGGAGGCTGCTGCTATACTGGTCGTCTTCTCTTACATTCGTTGTTACATGAGAGATAGAAGAGTTAGGTCATCTGCAATGTCCAGATCGTCCAGCTGGATCCTATTTTAATAATGTATCCCATGATTCCCCTCACATGTTGAAGTCTTCATAATCCAGTTGGCCAACAGGAGTGTAGCACCTCATCATTTATTATTTATACTTCAATGACTAGTAGTTTAAATTATTCGATAATACTATCGACCATACCTTTGTATTTGTAATAATTCGATTACAGTATCGATTATTGTATATTTGAATGTATGTGGATGCTTACTCGCTTATCACATGTCTAGCCTATTAATGCGTGACTATAAATACTTAGTTACTCTTCAACTCAAGGAGAGTTGGTTCACTCACCTTCTCCCATTCGCTTCGTTTTGCTTGCACGCTTTCTTTCTTATGTTTGTTTGGATAGATGATTGCATGAAATAAATCATCCGCAAAACCGTATTCGACTTCTTACTACCACCGTCGCACGAACAGGGTTAGCCTGTGGCGATCTGGATGGTACAACATCGATCCACTCGTGTAATACAACCTGCTGATTTTGAAGTTGGTCGTCTACTGAATCTTTCATTTGGTTCAACAACAGTTTGTTAAACACTTTTTTCTCGTACTGACAGCATTGTGAATCCTTTGTAGTTGTTGCACTCACCAGAATCTCCTTTCTTTCAGATCTTGATGGGATGTCCTTCTTTCCATCCTGTTGGTACTCGTTCATCCCGAATCCTGCTGAATAGAATGCAAAGCATATTTGGTGTGTACTGTTATGTTTAATGTTAGTGCCTAAGCTGGAACTTTGTCTGGTTTTGCTGTTTTGAAACTCCTGATTTGTCTGATGGTCATAACGATCTCTTCACTTGATCGTGGCCCAACATTGACTGGGGGTCTGTGGGTGCTACATCGACGTTGGGTTCACTAGTGCTGGTCGATTTAAGAGTTCTCTCATATGTTATATCGAACTGTTTCGCTGTTCTTAAATGTCGGTTACTACTTTGTCTTTCTTGATTTTCACTGGTCGTTCTGATTTACGATAACTCCACCAGGAACCCCTTTAGGTCAACTGTGAATTCCAAGCCTGGTTAAAGAATGGGAGCTGGGTATGAATTAGAGCTTCCATCTCGTAGAAAACTAACTCGCAAAAAAATGCTAACCAGAAAAATCAATTCAAACCATCTAACTCTGCCCTAGGGGTCGAAAAGTCTTCATTCAGAAGGGATATGACGTATCACAATGAAAGCTGCTTTCCTTCAGAGGTCACGAGGCCTCTGCCACTCATGACATTCAGAACCAACATTCTTTTAGGTACATTGAGTGTTCAGACAATGTGAGAGACCGGAAAAATATTTCAAGTTGATGCAGAAATGAAAAGATACAACCCGGAGGTGCTTGGAATCAGTAAAACGCATTGAACTAAGGTTGGAAAATTAAGACTAGTTTCGGGACAGTTTCTGTTATACTCCAGCCATGAATAAGAAAATGCCTCACACACACACACAAGTAGTTGCACTGATACTGTCCAAAGAAGCAAAACTCAAGAACGCTATCAGCAATAAGCTCCAAGCCATTCACTATTGGCTCACTGAATGGCACTCAGAAAAATAGTGACAGAAAGGCAACAACAAATAAGGATCAAACGAATGCAGAGAAGGTAAGGAACAAGCTGAATACATAGAAGTAAACAAGCTAGTTAAGATGGGCATTAAAGTTGAAAAACGTAAATACGTGAAAGATCTAACAATCCTGTAATGTAATTTATTCATTTAGCTTCATAAAAGAATGTATACACGTACTCAAAAGTCGCTCCGGCAAATCAGTAATAACAACATTATTGGCAAGGATGGATGGTGGTTAGCAGTGAAGTTCAAGACGCGTATTTCGTCCTACTTAAGACTCGTCAGCTGAATGATGATTTTAAGTTCAGTTATAAACTTGATTTTCTTTTAAAAAGTAGGTATGAGGATAAAATTTTATTTCAGACAAAAACTATCCAATATATTTAAGACATATTTCTATGGACTATGTCATTTTTTAAAAGGTCTTATAAACTATGAGCTTATATACCTGTATACAAGTTGTACTGAGAAAATTTGTTTGAAACACATCAATCAGGTATAGTCATATAGTTGAGTTTACCATGATCAATTCATCTGAGCTAATAAATTCTCAGTAGAATGCAGTTCAAAATCTGTGATTACAGAAACCGACTGTTTTAACGCCTCATTCAGAAAATTTCCCATAATTTTACTTTTCAAAGATCTAAAATATTCTGAAAGGTAAATTATGAAAATGTTACTGAGTACAGAACCCAACGTCCAGTTTAGATCAATCTGATATGATATTCTTTACGTCTGATTATCTTTATTGAGGTGCTTTGTTCTATGACCTGGATCATATATAGTATGTCACAGAAGAAAAACGAATTCCAAATACTCATCCTCAGTTGCAAATATCTGCTATATTCACCGTTGAATCAATGCAATGTGTCAAAAATTATTTATGCATTAGAACCAGACATGAATTACCTGTACTGTAAGATTAGCTTTGAAATACTCAGCTGTTTATTTTTGAAGCATCAGAGTTGAATAAAATTTTGTCGAAGTATCGGATTTTTACTCGTATGAATAGGTTTGATGGATTAGTATGATTGGTTGGAATAGTCTAAGAGAAAAGTCGTGCAATATATACAAACAGCTTGATTGGTTAAAATGTTTTTACTACAATTTTCATCGATCGCAAGTTTAAATAAAACGATATCGACGATATGGATTTCTTACTTAATGCTCATATGAAAATGAAGTTATTATACTGAAGGATTCATAATATTTTAATGAATAATTAAATATCTATTTATACACATGTCGTAAAGTTAAGCAAGACGGAAATGCATTTTATGGATTATTCGCATGTCATATACTTGTAACATTAGATTTTATGTGCTTGATGATACATGATTTCGTATGGCCAATCACGGTGCAGTCAAATGCAAGTTATTTAGTAGCACACAAAAACGAAACATGCATTTGTAATGGATTAAAAGTAACATATTACTGTCATTAATATTGTTGACATTATTCTTATTCTTATCAGATTCACTTTTTATAAATTACATAACATTCTAATGTGTATCAATAGTAATGGATTTATGGAACTAATCTTTATGAGAGTGGATTAACCTGTGGAAAATACTTACAGTGCCATTATTTTGATTTTCTTTTTACTGATTGTAATCAATTTTATTCAAAAAACCCGTACGAATTGATCACTGTTCATTTACTTGACAATATAAATTAGTTTAAATAGATCCAAATACCCGACTATGGCAAATCCACTAGATTCTACACGTAATAATGATGCTGAGGATTTAATAAATACAGGAGAATTAAATCAGGATGAACAAAATGTCGTAGAAAGTCTTGAGAAGAACGTTTCTTTCGCAATAACAAGCGAACATGCATTGGATGACTCAATCGAAAACAGTATCGAAAACGTAGCCAGATCGTTAAGTGAACGGGACATTGATAACAAAAGTAATCTTGTAGAATCACAAAATTTAACTCACAGTGGATCAAATAATAATTCAGAATTGGACTATAAACAACTACATCCAAATATAACTGAGAATAATGATACAAATTCACAAAACGTCACTGAGCTTTATGCAGACGAGAAGACACATTCGCAAAATAGTACCGAGGGATTTATATTCAGCAGTGATGCAGGAATGACACTGAATTCCGACACAAAAGAGTTCGATAACTACTGTAATCAGGATCCATCCAGTAGTAAATTCTTTGAACATACCTTTGAAAACAAGCAAGAACCTACAGCATCAATTATTGACTTAAGTGATCCAACTGTAACTCATCGTGTAGAACAATACCCTATTAAATCAGAAGCGGACTCCAGTAATATAGATGATCAAGTGAGTGTAAGTACAACAAATTCTACAAACTTAGAACTTTCAGGAATAGGTAAAAGTAATGACATCGTTGATACACATAGTTCTTTAGAAGGAACAAGTTTTTCAGGTACACAAAACGATGAAATAAACAACAATAAACATGAAACATTATCACGAGAATCGTCTGATGGCCTTAATGAAGGACAGATTACAAATCAATTTCATGAGGAAGTACATATGTCTGAGGAAACTGAAAATGACATAAAAGTGTCCGAGTATTTTTCACCACAAGAAGAAATAAGCCAAACTAAATCGATTGCACATTCTTCTAATAATGATAAAAATGACATATCGTTTGACCTTACTGTACACGATGTTAATAGCGAAGTTGGTGAATATTACAGTAAAAGTAATACTGGTGCCAGTGAAGAAATTATCCAAACACTTCATGAGGAATTCGAAACAAAAACTGAAAGTGATTTATCTACTTCAAGTGAGCAATCGAAAAATGAAGACAACAAACACTCACACTCTCTAGAAGAACAGACTGAAAATGCAGCATACAATGTACCAGAGAAATCTCAAAACAAAGTTGATATTTACCATCCAAACTACCCTACAGATGTTGAATTTCCCGTAGCAGAACAACGAACTACAGAATATGAATCACATCATGAAAAAAATGATAACAATGATTTCGAGAATAAACTTTACCCTAATTCCAACTTTATGACCGTAGAGCAAGATTTCAGAACTAGTTTCATTAGAGATGTCATTACTGATAACAAGAACAAACTACTTACCGAAAGTCCGGATACTGTTGATAACCTACAATCATGTCATTCACAAGATAACTTACAGTGGTCTATAAGTACTGATTCATCACATCTGCAATGTACAAACTCTTCATTATTAAATTACGAAAATCTAACTGAAATCGATGAAACCAAAAGTGAAACTTCACCATCTGACAAAGATATGCTTCGAGAAAACGATCTGGAAAATGGTTCATTATTGTACGCTACGGAAAATCTTACCAATGAGTTACAAATAGTTGAACATTTAACAGATGACAGACCAGAACCATTAAATATCACTGCAGATATTCAAGGTAATGAGTTATACAATGCTAAAATACATAAAAAAGAAGCAATGGAATGTCACTTGACAGAAGATCATTCTGATGATTATGATAGACCTAGTATGAGTAATTATGAAGTAGACAACATTTTACCTAAACATTCTGAAGAAACTCTGGCTTCGAGGAATGGAAGTAATAAAAGAAACTCAATTCCAGAAGAGCTAACTAACCACTTAAACTCGAAACCTTTCAATGATGCATCCAAAGATACAGAACTTCATCGGATACATAATGATATTGATGAGATCAGTTTGAATTCAGAAGGTGAACAAAAGACAGAATTTGAAAAGCGTTATGCAGAATTAATTGCCAAGTATTTACCAGTTGAGAGACAAACTAAAAAGAATGATCGATCAAGACGGACCAAAACACTAGACAGATATAGTAAATCTAAATTTAATGAGAATAGGTATTCATATATAGATACGAGTGATGTTAAAAAAAGGGCTGTAACACTGGAACGCAATGAGTTTAGGCGTAAACGACGCTTACAACCGAAACCGTCTATTAATGATGATTATTTATATCCAGATTCAGTAACACCTTCTAAGGTAGACAAAAGTATAAGTGTACGAAGTTTAGAAGAAGGTATTCCAGAAGGTGCTTATGATGTACCGTATATTGATGATGACGCTTTCTTGCCTCGAAGGTTACGTGAAAATAGAGGTGAAGAAAATGGATCAGATGAAGATAGTAGTTTGAGTCTGGCAGAAAATTACTGGTCATGGAATCCTGACAGATTTAGTAGATTGGAAGCCAATCATATAGCTGATACAAATGAATGTGCTGCTACTCCAGGTAAGTTGTCTAATAAAAATGTTTTTTCTATTGACTTTAGTTCAATTTATAAAAAACGGGTATTTATGGTAGTTTTTCACGTTTTATGACTGAAACAGTAAATAACATCATATACCAACTCGAATGTAGCTGTGAATAGTTCAGAAACGAATGCACCGTCTATCTGCCTAATTAGTTTTTTTCAGTAAAGCTGACTCTTTTTTGATCATTTCAATTGATTAGAAGCTAGTACACCTGATTTGATATGTGTGTAGGAATTAAAAACTGGTCATTTCAAGCTAGTTCACATCGCAATCTACACAGAATATTTAACTTTCACTCAACCGACCAATTAGCAATGAGTCAATAAAAGTAAAGTATACGAATGAAATTGGCGTTTAACTTTTTTAGTGTAATTATGCATAGCTAAATTATGGGGTTTATGGGTGAATGTTTTGCCCTAAATGTCAGTATAATTCATCACCAGAGAATGATAAAATTATACATGTACAAAAATATAGCCTACATACATTAACTCAGATAAAATGATTCAGCTGATTGAACATATTCAGACCAACTAAATTGTATTCATCAGTAGCTAAATTTGGGAGAGATTCCTAAAGTTGTGATCAGATGGCGTGATGGGTAAATTTCACTCATGTAATGAATAAGAAGTTTTACCGCTGAAAACTAATATAGGTCATGTAATATTACGGAATACTTGAACTTGAAAGCAAAAGTCAGTAGAAGAAATTTTAATGATAAAATTTAGAGTAACAACAGCCAAATCTGGTTCTTGTTGTTGATTCAGGACCGGGAAGAATTAAAGTTAAATATTTCTGAATGGTTTCTTACTAGGATGAAACAACCAGTCAGTTCGCTCTGATTTTCAATGGTTTTCCAGTCAAAGTCGACCCACACTATCAACTACAATGTTACTATAAATTCCAGTTTTTAGAAATAATATTGTATGATATTACGACTCAGACTGTCAAGTATAAAACAAAATATTGATTGACTAAAGAACACAATTATGTGCAATTTACTAAGTTGTTTGATTTTCTGATATTTTTTTGTAAATAGGCAAGAGTTATTGTTATACTCGTCTCTAGGTATGCTTACAACTATTACGGGTTCACCTAAGTCGAATAACGAGAACAAAACAATGAACCCGCGTCCAGGTAGGCCACTGTGATCCGATCGTCCCAACTGTACCAGCAAGAAGTCTTGATATAGCGTAGAAAGTGTATTCTACAAACACCCAGCCAGCACACAATGAATTCAAGCACACAAATCGCGTTTATTTATACTACATAGAGACGTCCTTGCGAGAAACACAAAATAGCACACTAAAATGACACAGTAACCAATCAAAGCCAGGGATTTTCCCGGTGGAAAATGTGATCTCAAGGTCAACTGATAGGTCCATGAATAAATCCAAAATAAAGATATTTATCAAGCGAGTTCTGGGGACCTAACATCCCCCACAGTTATACCCAAAATGTATAATTTTTCTTTGGATAACGTTTTCACTGACTGAATTTTTCAACAAATAAATTTGGGAAGCATTTACGCTGCAGTCAAAATACGTGATCAAGCAGATTCGAACATCGATCTTATTGCAGAAACATCAATCAATATTGGACTGACTACTCTGGTCTACCAATAATATATGATTTTACTCCATCCTTTTCCAGTGTCGTTTCATAATTTCCTCTTCAGATGGAAGTTGGTCCGTTTGCTTCTACAGTAGATTGTCACTGATGGCTTACAGCCAACAAATATGTAGGATCTTTCTCGAACAAGCGTTTATAAATATCGTCTTGTCACTTTGAACAGTTACTCACTCGTGGAAACTGTCATTATATATACAAGAAGGAAACTTTTTTCTGTGTCACCGAGTAAGAATAATGTGATATAAAATTCTTAATTTTAATTCAAACTGTCATAAACATCCTATAACCAAAAGGTTACGGAAACCAAAGCAGCAACAGTAATGTTGCTTATGATTTTTTACAATATATACGTACTTACATAAATAATTAAATGAAAAATTAGAAATTCATACTATCTATGAAAATAAAAACTTTTGAGTGACAGTCTGAATCCCTTATTAAACCTAGTTCGATTGACATTATTGTATCAATTTTTCGAATAAAAAGCTGAAAGGTTCATTTGCATCTAAATTATTCAACGTGTAAGTGTACACGTCGTTAGTTTAATAAACGGTAGTTTTTCATTCACGACCTTTCACGGAGTGATCACTAAGTTACTCACAACCTGCAAATGAAAACAGTATAGTATGGAAGAATGGAGTCTATTTAAGGTCATTATGATACAAAAAGCACTAAGTATTATATCATTGTTCACGTGGTATTCAAAAGTTACATTTTGTAGGTCTGAATGTGATATTGAAGAATAATCATAAAATCGAATAAGTAGTGTGACGGAAATTACATTTCAGATAATATCTAGTAATTGTTACAGAAATTAGATGAAGGTAAGATGATGTAAACACTTTTCAATGGCTTTGCTTTCCATCATCGGATGTTTTTAGACAGTTTCAATGGAAATAAATACTTCACTTAAACTAGCAGATAATAGTTCATAAGTCTATGTAAACATAAGCGTGACATCTGAAATGGTAGCTATTGGTTTTTGAAATATTCTCAAACTGGAAACGTGTAAGTACCAAATTCAAACCGAATTCTGTTTTTAATCATAAAAGAAGAAAATATTATCGACACAAATACATCCAGAAAACGCTAGTTTTTAATAAAATATATGAAACAAATGTATTAAGTTGATTCCTGTTCAGTAAATCATCTTGTCTTTCATCCTGTCTTTCAAGAACGATTTCTATGCTTATGCAGATTTTACCTTTCATACATTGATTTTTTATTATCTTGAATATTCAACCCTTTGAACTCGCCTTAAGGAATTATTTGTATTATCAGACGAAGCACAGAACCATATTCTTTTATTATCAATTTCCTTAGCACTGATCTTACCTCTTACCGTTTCGGATTTTGAGGTCAGATTTCGAATATTTTGTAATGTTTATCATCATTGGCTAAATGAGATTCTACCTCATAATGCTCAAAATATTTTGATACAACCTGAATAAGTCGGTCGTTGCATTGTCGATTTAAGGCGACTCAACAACTACGAAGTTCCTACAGTTCTTAAGTACACATTGATGCAAATGAGAATCAGTAATGACTCCCTGGTTTTCGGATTGCACCATGGAATTAATCGTGTTTTTAACTTTGCAGTAAATAACAAACACAAGTCTGGTAAGCGAACAGTCAAACAGACAACGATATCTGTAAACAGTATCTAGTTTATTTTTGTTTTTCAACTCGTTTTAGCCTTTAATTTACTAGTATGCAAACAAATATGTATACGTAAACAATCTTGAAGCTACTTAGTGTTTTTTTAAATGATTCAGGGACCATAATTTAAATTTACCTGTTTTAACAATGGTGTAATTCAAAGACTGATAGATGAATTACAAATCTGAAAAATTTTCAAAACCACACTTATAAGCAATATAAACACTAAAGTATCATTAAGCTTATATTGATATTCTATGAAGTAGTACATGCGTTATATTTACTGGCCAATAATCAGAATAGAATAATCAGGGTCATTTCGTGCGTCGCTGTAAAAGCTAAACGTTATAATCGATATTGTGTTAATATATATTATAGGATGTAACACAAATTCTACAATCAACTTCTGTTCATCTAATTAGAGATTTAAAAAAGCCTAAACTAAATGACTGATTAAACTTTGAGTGTATTTTATTAATAATTTGACTTGAAATAGTATTTCACAAAACTATGGATCATAACAAAGTAAAATTCACAATGTAACAAGATGAATTTCATTATCTGGATGAAAACCAGCTGCTAAATATATAATTCAAAAGATTTTTACTCAATAAATTAGTAATAAGTGCTTTTGTAAGTATAAAACATTATTTGATTGGGATCTCAATAATAGGTTCAATTCAAAACAATATTTCATGATTCAGTTTCAATTAAAATTTCTAATTTTTTTTTAAAGCTATCAAGCTGTAAAATATTTATTGAACTTTTCAGTGCAATTATGGAAGTAAACACTGTAAATGGTGTTAGTTTGTAAGTGATTTTCATCAATAAAAGCAGAAAACAGAAATAATGATCAAATTAAGAAACGATCCCAGATGTTCGATGTAGACGAGTTTAGCCATTTTATGTCGTTTATTTTCCTTATCACTCAGTATTTTACTCCATTAATTGCGAATAACTTTTGATAATATATCTCGTTTACCTTATAATAACACACTTGGTAGAGGCGAGTAATATAAACACCTGTGTGGTGACCAACTAAAGAATAACATCGGTTAAAATTAGATCCACAAACAGATTTTTATTATGCTTTCATAATGGCATGAATGATGAACTGACTTAAAGTAAAATCGCTGCATCGAAGCTTACTGTCCATGCTTTCCTGAAATGTGACATAACAGTAAATCCGAATTACTTTAAATCATGAAATTTTTATCTTCGCACTTATTCGCTTTGCAATATGAATCCATGTGATTCAGTGAATGCCTTTAAAGATTCTTTTCAACGGGTGGTTTAATTTAATGCCTTATTTATCACTCTTAGAATGCGTTATTGATCAATATATAAGAATAATTTATAAATTCGTAAAAATAACTGTTTATTCGTACTGTTTACTAATAGAGCAGATGTGCAGACTGGTTTTGATATTTACGTTGTTGTAACCGTAAAGCGTCACTTCTTTTGGCTACAGTTATGTGGTTTAATGTTTTTGAATATGTAGCTGATAGTTTCTGGTGTTAGCTTATTTATGAAAGATTTGAATGTGTTTCTTAACGTGTTTTCCTATGATCACTCTGAGAACAAATGGTATAAATTGTCATATACGATTTTTGCAACTCATTGAAAATAATAAGCATTCTTTGATTATATTCTTTGTGAAACGGAAAAATATAGTGAATTTTCATT